TTTGCGAATAGTTTTGTCATCGTTGGTATCAATGATATTTTCGACACTTAATTACTCTGGCAGAGTGGACAGAATACAGCAATAAATAAAACTCACGTTTTTTTATTAACTCCCATAATTAAACTTCACAATTTGGCCAGCTTAGGGTCCTTTAAGTGTTCTGCACGTTTATCTTCAGTTTCAGAATTTTGGCTAAGCTCACACATTCTGTTCAAAAATATGCTGTAAATATTATGTACTTTTCATTCTACCACTGACACGGGTAGATAAATTTGGATACTGCCGATTGTACTTGGCTTCCCTCCAGGATCCTGCATCAACTATTTTAAACTTGTTGCAATAGAAGGCTAACTAGTTAAAAAGATAACTAATCTTGAGTTGTTTTCTATTATTGTATGTTAAGATGGTCGTCCCAAATATAGAAGCTTCTTCTATCACAAAGTCATCCCTGAAGAAACACATTTCATATGTGAAATCAGTGGAAACCCTGTAGTAGCAAATAATGAAATGAAGTTATGGAAACTGGGTACAACTGACTTCCTGTCTCCTACTACCTATAATGATGGTGACAAATACACAGCTATTGGAAATTTCACTGTTGCTGTTGTTCAGAATGATGATGTATATTTCTGTGGTGCTCCAGATATTGGATTTAATGGATTCTCAGTTACTGTAAAACTATATGGTAAGTTTATATATATACGTTTCTTAACATGAGGCAATCACTATACTCATAATACAATGCAATAGTGTATAGTAATATATCTTGCCTGCAAATATAGTATGATAATAAAAGTCTATTTAGCATCTGGATATGTGATTAAGTGAACATTTGTTCTTGTTTATTATCATATAAGCAGCTGTTATATCCATGGTTTTACCTGTGGTAATATTCTGCAGTATTTGATCCACACCACGCGATATGTTTTGACTCCTTGTTGACTTTTTCTTTTCATGTGTTTGACCCGAGGTAAAAAAATAGTAATGGCATTTAGAGCACAACTCTGAATTAATTTTTTGTAATCTTGTCAGTTAGTTAAAACCTGTTGACAGTGTTGTCCTCATGATTTCGGTCAAGGATGGTGGCTAATTTGCATAATTATTAGCATATGATTTACACGATTTATTCGTAATGTTTGTAATTTTTTTTAATTTTTCGTAAACTACTCTTTTAGTTTTATAATTTAGAATGAAAACATGAGTCATGGCTTAAATCAGTAAACAAGAAAATCAATATTATTATAAAGTAACTCATCCGATATTTCATGTACCCGTGCGTGAAGCCTGCAACGTTTTTTTTATTTCATGGATATTTTAGTCATCTAAAAGCATGTTGAACATTATTCGTCGATTTTCGATTTCATTTACAATTTATTTTGAACATTACAATAATCTTTTCTTTGAACATTTTATTTTCTGACATCGACTATGGCGTAAAGTACGTAAATTACGTAATTAGACCAAAACTTTCAATGAGTACATGTCGACCTAAATCAACTTTAACAGTCTTTGGAATTTTGTTTCATTTTTATGGTTGTTTATGAACAGCGAGGAGCATGTCATTTAACAATAGCTGTGGAAATCATAGATGAGTTTTGAGTGTGGCAGTGTACATGTCTGACAAGCATGGCAGCACTGCTACGCTGTTTGTATCTTGGGAGAACACTGGTTAGCATAATGAGGAGAAGACTGGTTAGCATAATGAGGCACATCCATTATTTTTCAGATTTTTTTGTTATTGGCTGACTGGTGGTCATTTTGTTCATACAAATTATTGATTTTTGTTCATTTTTGCTAATAAATTGAGATTACATTTACTAACTTTATTCAGATTTGGTACAAATATATTATTTCATGAAGGTGCAAGCCATTTTGAGTGACAAAAATTGTTAATTTTCATTCCTTTTTGCATTTTTTGGCTTATATCTCAAATTCAGTCCAAAATTTGATTAAATGACAATTGTGTTCTAGCATATTAACAATCGTTAATATTTGTATTACAATCCAATTTAAGATGGTTGCCTAGTAGTCATTTTTGCCCAATTTCGCCTAATTTGTTACTGTCCAGATACAAACTTTAGCGCATCAATAAAATTTGGTGTGTCACAATCCAATCAAAGAGAGTAAACTGGCAGCCATTTTCTTTTTTAAAAATTTTCTAAAATGCACTTTTTTGGACATGCTTTGTTTTAACCTTGGTGTGATGATTTTATACACTTAGTGCCTGATGTACATGTATGTCTTGTTTTGGTTTATTTTGTATTTTTACAAAGGCTGACTGGCGGCCATTTTTTTCATGGCTTTGCATGTCTGAAGTCATTTCTCAATTTGGTTCAAATTTGATCAATGCATTTGCATCAAAAAGGTGCTTATAAATGCTGAATGAGGCTGCGAATTTCTCAATGGCTTGTTAAATGTAGGATTTTGATGTTTTTTTGTTCAAATTTTAAATTAGTACATTAAAGACAAGAAAACAAAATATATATTGATTTTGAATAGCTGAAACCTATCATAGAACAAATCTTCATAGAACAGATGTCATATAAACAGGATTCAATGGTGTTGAACAACAAAGATTTAAGATTTGTCTGTTTATCAGGAATAATTTTGCTTGTTCATGTGGTGATCCTGTGCCACTATATATCATAGAATATGCGCGTATACATACTAGAAAATATATATACATATATATCTCATTGACTGAAAAAGTGGAATGTATTTGAAAATCATCCTTTTGATATGATATAAGATACTTATACTTATAAATACTTATTTGTCACTTTATATTATACTCCATGCACACATCAATGTTGAAATGGGTAACAAATAACTTATGAAACTAAAATATAAAAAACTCATATTACTGTACTTCATCAGATCCGCCAAGATTTAAGACTAGCAACAAGCCACAAGTATCAGATAGTCAATCTGACCAGCTTACTGTGACCTGGAACAAATGGACTACTGATGATATTGGAGATGGTCCAGTTGTATCTTATAAAGTATACTACAGAGAAAGTGGTGAGAGTGACTGGATATCAGGTCAAGTTGTACCAGTCAGTGATTCAAGTCAGATGAGTTATACATCAACCATCACAGGATTACAATGGTCTACTGCATATGAAATTACAGTTACAGTTAAAAGACCAGGTCCACTTGGTGAAGGGAGTAAAGAAACTACTATAGCAGGAACTACACTGTGTGCAAGTATGTGGAATCAGTTATCAGTTAAATTTTATTTGACCACTCACAAAAAAAATTCAAATTGTAACAATTGTGAATCATGCTAACTTAATACATTCTAAAGGCTAAATCTTTTCCACGAATCGAAACGACACAAAAGAAACGAAACCCTAACCTCGCATTTGTTTTGGATTTTTAATATCTGAGAAAATTTCACACTGTGAAACACAAAATGGTTAGGGTTAGTGTTAGGGTTTTGTTTCGTTTCGTTTTGTGGAAAAGACTAAGCCCATTCTAAGCAAGCTATCAAACAAGTAGTTTTTCAACTTCATCGAAACTACTGATTGCTTTGATAACTGTATTAGATAGACTCCTTTCAGATTTGTTTTGAATACTTGAATTTGAATTCCCTGTTTTTCATTTTCACTTTTCTATGAAATCAACTAAAGAATTGAATATACATGTTCATTACATTTACCCTTCAAACAAAGTAAACATATGCTTGAATGTATTTTCAATGTTTTTGTTATTTGTAAAAATTATTAATAGCTTCCATTAACTGAGCAATGTCTTGTAGCTGTTCCTATACCAGTATGACCAAAACAGTTTGGGTTTCATCTCTAAATATTGATAAAGTTTTGTTTAATTTTATTTTTATTTAACATATTTAAAGAAGCATGTATATCGATAAAAAACAAACATTCTTAATACCATGTGTAATGCACTTCACTGGAACATGAAATTGCAAAAAACAAACAAAAAATGTGTGAGTGCAGGAAGACAAACAGTGAGTTATTTTTGAATCAGCTGTCCTATATCTGTTTATACAATTATGTTTATTTTGACACTGTCAATATTTCAGTGATTCTTGGGGCAGAGATGCAGCAGTCTTGCATTTAGCAAGATTCTCTGTACATGTATTATCAATTTTTTTGCAGCTCCACAAGCACCAATAATTCATCAGGTGTATCCAGAGTTGAATGAGCTGGAAGTTCATGTGCAGGTATATAGAATAGTATATTTCTTTTATTGGCACCATAAAAAAAGGTGACATTTTTTTTTTGGCTCTATGGCCATTTAAAGCTTAAAAAGACAGGAAATGTTTTCCTCACTATGAGATTTTATTTTTTCTCATTTTTACAGCTTTCTTAATAATTAGTGCCAATAGTTAATCTCTAGTATTTGTTTTCAGCATGTAAATAAAAATTGTCTTTGTTTCTATAATTGTTAAATGCATCATTTTGTGATTTATATATTAACATATATCCTCATCTTTACTGTCATGCTGTTAGACATACATGTATGTTAAGTATTATCTGGGCTTCAATTTTTATTTTCAAATTAATTATTAAAAAAATTCTAAAAGATAAAAGAAAATGAATAATTTAAAATGGAATTTGTTTGTGTGTAATAGATACAGTCAGCTTTGTGTTCATACACATAGTATGTATTTCATGCATAACTCAGTTGCATGGTATTGAATCATCCACATGTGACAGAACTGAATGGAATACCATCTATAAAATCAAAAAAGTGTGCTACATTATTAAACACTAACTAATGAACTAACTAATTATATTGTTCATATTTCAGGTTCCTGATAGGGATGGTATAAAGTGTAAACAAGGCAGTATTGATGGATACATTGATTACATTAAAGTGAAGTATAGGAAGGCAGGTACACAAGATGAATATAAGGGAAAGAGAAAACAATTTGAGGGGAGTGTGAATGGTTCAGAAGTGATTACTATTACTGGTGTCTCATTACAACCATACACAGAGTATGAGATCATTGCTGTACTCAGAAATGCTAATGTTACAAGTCCACCAAGTGATCCAGTAACTGTTAAAACTCCTGAGGATGGTAAGTTATTTATATTCTCTGCACACTGTAACTTATGGCATTACAGTGACAGATGTATGATAATAGATGATATGACATAAATTATAAATTTGTTGTTGAGTATCTACAATATTGCCTGCAAAGTATCTGTTACGATGTAAAATATACCAACTGTGAGTGGATCTTGCAAAATAAACTTTGTGGTCCCAGGGTTTTGCAATGCTGAGCTGTCATCATAAATGGCTGCAACCAATACCATCAATATGTATAGTAAAGATGAATACTGTAAACAGTTTTATTTTTGTGAAAAAACAATTTTTATGAATTGGTAAAGGTCATGTAATTTTGAAGCAGTGAACATGTCTTTGGTGTCTAGCGGCTCACTGATTGTCAGTGACTTTTGTGAATTTTTTGTTTTAACAAATGTTATAAAATTCTGAAATGAGGAACATTTTTAGCAGTGTAAAAGTAAATATTTTATAGTGCTGTTAACAACCCAGTCATGGTAATCTTCAGAACAAAAGTTGACATAATAATTCAGACATAGACAGTTGACACATGGCAATGTTATGAGTTACCGTAACAGTTTCTCTACATTTCATGGCAGTATGGTGTTAAATATTGCAACTAATTTTTATGATTTGTATACCTATTGATATATAATTAATAACATAACATACTGTATGTATCTGTATTGCAGTTTCTTCTAAGCCAAGAAATGTAACACTACAACCAGCAGTGCATGTATACAATTACTGTTG